GCCACCATCATGCCACTGTCCTCTCCTTGGGGTGTCTGCACTGTCCCCCGACTGGTTGTTCTTGCTCGGCCTCACTATCACACAGGGTCCTCTGCACAGCATAGTCCTTTTTAACGTAGAAGTTGCATTATGTCACTTTTATGCTTTTAAAACCTTCCGTTGGCTTTCCATCTCACGAAAAGAAAAAGGCCTTTCACTTCTGGTTCCTGGCTTCCTCTCCTGCCATTCCTTTGCTTACTTCATGCCAGTCAACTGGCATTATTTTTATTCCTAGAATACAGCATACTTGTTTTTACTTCTGTTCCTTTGTGCTTGATATTCCCGCTGCCTGGACTGCTCCATTTTTTTATATATATTGGCACACTCACCTACTCATGTTATTTAATTTTCTGCTTACATGTTACCTTAACTGAGCAGTCTTCTCTAAAATAATATACACTTGCAGCACCCCCTCCCCCGCACTTTATTCTATGTAGGCTTGGTACCTGTCCTTTACCTGACTTGCTAGCAGCTAGATATAGTCACATGCCCAAGTTTTGGCTGATGGAGTATGAGTGGAAGCAATAAGTATGAATGGCAGGACAAGTCCTGAAAGAGAAGGCATAAGCCCTCCATTTCTCCTTATTAGCCCAGTGGCTGGAATTTGAATGTGAGGGCAGGAGCTAGAAAAGCCACCTTAGAAAACCAGATGGAAGATGTGTGTTGAGGCAGTAGAGAAATCTGGCCCCTTAATACCTTATCAGCTCTGGAATGCTTACATTTGAATGGCCTCCTAAGAGAATAAACTTTTTTTATGTTGTTTATGCCATTTTCATATTACCTTTGTTACATAAGTGAAACTAAAGACTAACACAGACATGTGTTTTTTGAAAGTCTGCCTGCCCTTCCAACCGCTACCTGAAATGGGACTGGAATGTAAATTCCATGCTAGTGGAAGCTCTATTTGGTCCACTGTAAACAGCTTCTTGAACAGTGCCTAGTACACTAAGCATTCAGTAAATGTTTATTGAATGACTGAATGGCAAAACCATCAACATAATGGAAGGCCTTGAGTGTTGTCATGAGGAAGCACATGGCTGGTCAGTATAAGTGATTGGTACAGCACTTAGCAATCTGTGTGTGTTGGTTTCTGTTCTGACTGAATCACAAAGGCAGGATACAACCTGCTATTTCCATTATCTGAGAGGTATAAATACTTGTAAGATGGTTGTGTGTTTCTTTTGTAATTTAAATGTAGAAGACTCCCAGGTAAAGTTCATGGTTGTAATGAAATCGGGTCACAAAGTCATGGAAAATTCTGACAAGGTTCACACTGATGAGGAAAGGTCACAAGTCGCATGCTAAGCACAGATGAAGAAAAGGAGCTTGTGTGCTAAGATCTTGAGATGTGTGGCCAAGATGTGCATCAGTGAGGATGGCAAAAGCTGATAGCTGAAAGAACCACAAAGAATTGCACAAGCCGAGTCAAAATGAAACAGAGACATATCACAGGGTATCATATTAGCAAGATGCTTGGGGGTAAATGCTGCAGACATAAAGCCACTGAGTTCCTGGATGAGTAACACTATAAAAAGATTTATAGTGCCAGGATAACATTTTTTGTATAAAATATCTTTTTCATGCTATTAAGTTTGTTTTGAACACCTTAATTACATAGATCAACCAATGCAAACAACTTAAGCCATCATGGTGGCTTTAAAAATACATACAGGGATGAAATCCTGTGGGCCTGGGATTAAGCCACTTTAAACTTTAAAATGTTCTATTTCCTGAGTGATGAAAGTTGCAAAAGTGTAAGCTATCCTGGCATACCACACCCCTGTGTGTAATATTACTGAAATAAAACAAGTCCAGATTTGTTTAGTCATTTTATAACATATATGTAACTTCTGGTAACAGTTACTAGTATGAGGTTTCTCTTTATTGAGTAAATTAACTAGAAAGTTCAGGGCAGCTTTCTTAATAATGTGCCTCTTTGCTTGAGAATTTCTTAGTAACAAAATAATTTCTACTTTCTAGAAACATAACACATTGGAAGCATAAAGGAAGCTTTCAGATTAGGAGAAAGCACTGAAAATTAGTAACAATAGTTACTTCTTTGTCCTGTTCCTCACTCTGTGCCTAATTATTGCTTGAAGTTTGGTGAGGCCTCTCATCTTGCATGGTGGATATATTAGGGCGACAGAAGGGTAGGGTAACTACACATGCCACCTTTATATGGTGGCTCACTTATCAGAAGATTTCATGTTGCAGCTGCACCATCATTTCAGATAGGTTCTAGAATATAGCAAAGGGATCAAAATACAGTTTCATTTAAAAATCCTTAGCAGAGAGAATCATGACTTTTTCAAATTTAGTGCTGTTGTGTGTGTGTGTGTGTGTGTGTGTGTGTGTGTGTGTGTCCAAAGATAAAGTTTCTTTTCAGTGAGTATGGCAGATGAGGTGCCCTTTACTGGAAATAGTTTATGGCACAGGTCTCTCTTTTGGTGATTTTCATCACACTATTCAAATGAAGTAATTTATGCACAGAAATACTTTGTAAAGTACAAGTGTGTGAAAAACACACAGATTATTATCATTGTGAGGAAAAAGATAGCTTGGGATAGGTATAAGAACTTCAAGCTGGAAGCCCTGGACCCCATCGAACTGAAGAAGTGTGGGCCCGCCCTTGGGGGGGATAGAAAGAGGTCTTTTTGAGAGAGAGAGTAGTGGGGGTCCCTGGATTGAAGATGACCCTATTTAAGAATCATGTAGTTGAGAAGTCCATATTCATTGGAAGAGGGGTTTGATTTAACAGTAGCTGCTGCCTGGAGAAGGCACATGCGTGCAATGTGAAACTTCTAACAGATTTGTTTCATTGGGTGGATCAGATAAATGAACTCTAATTGTACTGAGATAGTTTACTTATTGGAAAGAGGATTATGTTTAGCAACCTACATATGTCATTAATCAACTCTTTAAGCAATTTAAAAACAGAGGAAACTCCTGTATTCTCATCACTTCTGAAATCAAGTTTTTGCAAAGGTGCTAGCTCTGCAGTAACTAAGCCTTGGCTTCAGACTCTTACTGAAATGCAAACTCGCTTTCCTTCTGCTGTTTCCCTGTACACTCAACACAGTGTTTTGGAAACCAGCAGTTATCTAAATTCCCATCGGGTGACATTGTTTAATCTGACATTCCCTCTTTCATATATGAAAATAGCTCCAAGGACGATCCACAAATCCACTGAGGTTCTTTAAAGTTGTTTCCTGGTGGTTGGGAGAGGGTTTCCAATACTTTTTTCAGAGAAATCCTTTTTATCTGATGGTTTTCCCGCACCCCCCTCCCCCCGCCCCCACCTTCTCTCACCCTGGTCAGGGGAGCCTCTGACCGCTTTCCCTCACTCCCAAGCAAGGGCTAATCAGGGGAAAGAGCCATTGACCTTGGCTATCAAAGCACCTGTCTAATCACTGAGCTCATTAGGCCTCCCAGAGTCCAGATACATAAAAGTTACTTCAACTGAATTTTTTCTGGGTGTTTGGGTGTGAAAATTTGGGTCTTTGATATTGAGAGCAAAAGACTATTGCTTTGAAATAATGACTACACCTATTTCCAAATACTGTGATGAAAACATAACTCTTCATGTAAAAAGGCTGCAGAAATGGTATTTTACTTTGAAGACAGTAATAATTAAAAATAACAACAAACAGATTTTTTTCGGTTATATCTTAAAAGGGTAGCTGCTTATGTTCTAGGCTTATACAAAAGTCTTAAAAGACCTCCAACCCCTGCTTTGTGAAGGCCTTAGGAAGATTAACATGTTTGTCTTAAAAAATGTGAGCTGCCTCTTAAAAACAAGGGGCTGCACCTCATCCTCAATCATATTGTCACATCATCACTCACCTAAGTTACACTTTATGAACAGCCTTGATGTGCTGCACACACGCAAAAAGTACCTGAAGTGGGTAAACTTTTGTGGATGCTGGCCTAGAAGTATATACAAGAGTGGGCAAAAGTAGCTTTACAGTTGTGCGAATGGTTACGATTACTACCATAGCTTTAACTCAAAAGAATGTCACAGTGCAACTGGAAACCTACATTTGTCCACCCCTGTATTTAGTAATCACCTAATTACATTATTTTATTTTTGTGAAACGAGAACTGATGGACCAAACCTTTCAAACAGACCCACCAGACGATAAATACCACCATATGTTTGATTCACAGTACATTTGGGCATAAACACTTCAATTACAGCTTTGTGTTTAGTATCAAAAAACCTTTCCTTGTGTGCGTGTGTTTTCTTTACAAATCCCGTGCTCTGGATTACATTTTAAAGATTGCTTATTACAGATAAAGCACATTTCCAGGTACGCTTCCGAGAAACATATGTATTTATGTACACAAAGGTGTGTGCACATCTTTTCACACACAGAAGTCCATATGATGCCTGAGCCGCGCTCCCTGCACATGCCCACAGCGTGTGTGCGCTCACACGCGCACCCGGTCCTGGAAGGGCCCGGCCGCCCCCCTCAGCCAAGTTGACCCGCGCTGCCACACTGGCTGCGGCGCGAGCCTCCCCTCCTCTACTGGGCCTTGGGCCGCCGGGCCCACACCCACCCAAGCGGTTTTGCACCGGGCAGCGCTGCGATGGGGGCGGGGCGGCCAGTGCCCTAGAGGCGCCTCAGAGCGCCAGCGGGTCTTTATTTATAAAAGCCTGCGCCGCATGAGCCCAGCCCCCATCGCGGCGGCGGCGGCGGGCGGGAGGGAGCGAGAGGAACAAGACCGGCAGAGGCGCTCCCCTCCCCCCTCCCCCGCCTTGCCGCCGCCACCGCCTCCTCCTCCTCGCGTCCGCGGCGCCCCTCCCCCGCCGGCCCCTCCCCCGCGCGCCTGCCCGGCGCAGGCCGCTCGGGTTTGTTTTGCTGCGCGGCCGCCGCCGCCGCGGGCCTCGCGAGCTCATTTGTGCCTGGCTGGTCCCCATTCCTCTCTCCCCAGTGTTGAGTGTCTGAGCCGTTGGCGGCTCCGAACCGTTTGGCTCTTTCCCTTAGTAACAGCTTTTACCTTCTGCCTCAATTCCTCTCCCAGCTCGCGCCCTTCCCCCGCGCGCCGCTCCCCCTGTCGGCGGCCGCGTGCGCCCCCGCCCCTCCCCCCGCGGCGGGAGCACCTCCGCTAGCCACCTGGGGACCCGCGCCGCGCTCCCCGCCCCCGCCCGCCCGGCGCCCATCCCCCGCGCCCTCCGCTCGCCGGGGTTATAATTGCTTCTCACCCCCCGGAGGGGTTATTTTGGGGGTGGTTGGAGGCGGCGGCGGCGGCGAGGAGGGGAATTTCCTTGTGCCTCCTTTCCCGGGAGGGGGGAGCCGCGTCCGAGGCCACCGTTTCCAGGTAAGCGCTGGGGGCCGGACCCCCGGGTGGGGGCGACCGCGGGCCGGGGTGGGGGGCGCGGGCGCAGGCGGCCTGGGGGCGCCGGGCCGCAGGGAAATGGGCGCAACTGGAACAAGCATTTCTTCAACTTGGCCCTTTGGGGAGTCGGGGTATGGGTGGGGGAGGGGCAGGAGGTTAAGGCATTTAGGGTGTCCCATCCCCCCTTTTTCCTCTCTGAGGCTTCTTTGAAATGCTCACGTGCCTGCCCAATCCCTACGCTTTCCTGATCTCGGGGGATCCTTACCCTTATGTTGTCCCCGAAAATGTGCACCTTGGCCTTCTCCCCCTCTTCCACCCTTCGTGCATTTACACCCCCTTTTTATGTGTGTCTTTGGGGGTAGGCTTTCAGGGAAGAATCTGCAGCAAATTGAATCAAGGAGCCATCATGAGGCCGACTCCTTTATAGCCTATTTTTAGCCGAGGAGAGGGATCTTTTCGCTGCACGTTATTTAGTTAAACCTCAGTCTGCAATGGAAATCTGCTTCCCTCCTTGGGCGCGTCCACGACCCCGTCCGGTTTGCAGGGGGTTGCCGGCGGCTGTTGGGGCCGCGGGTCCCGGGCGGGGGCGCCGGCGGGGGAGGGGCGCGCGGCCGCCGGGCTGCACTTCTGGACGTGTTTACTTGTAACTTGGTGCTTTTTATCATTCTGAGAAGGTATTTTGAGTCTCTTTGAAGTTGAGTTCAGAAGTGTAGAATTGGCAAAGTTATTGCCAGTTTCCTGGTAAGTTTGGGGTGGCACATAGTCACATTATTTTTTGACTGTGCAAAGGCCACGTTGTGAGGGTGGTTTCTTGGTAACTTCCTCTTTGCAATCGATGTCATTTTTTGAACAGCAACAGACTTTTATTTAAGTGAAATATTAATCTTAAATGGCAGCTCGAGGGAAGCAATGCATGTGCTAACATGGTCAGTATTTTGGGAAGTTCCTAATTTGCTGAAACAGGCATCACTTTGCAGTGGCAACCGAGATTAAATTTAGGTTGTGAAAATGGTGTGTTTCATGTAAAATTTGGGTTGTAATGGCTCTTTAAAATTGATCCTATTCGGTTATCTAATAACATTTTCTAAAATATTTTGATGATTGTAAACGACAAGAGTTGGGTACCTAGTTAAAAACTAGATTTTCTCAGGGTCTGGAGTTTACTTAAAACCTTGGACGGTGCAGGCACCAAGGTGAGTAGTTTTAGTACCTATGTAATTTACAATTGACTTAGGAAACTTTACTATTGGCTTTCTTGTTTTCCAAACCAGAACCTTATGTTGATGAAAACAAGCTTGTTAATAAAATACGGTGAGTGAGTTGGTGGGTTATTTTTAGTCTAAATGGTCCCCCCACCTCATGTAATTAAGTAATTATCTTCTTCCCCTTTTTTCCTAAAGACTCCTGTATCAGGTTGGAAAATATAAGGCCCTCGTGGTGTTTTTATCTGCTTACCTAAAACAAATTGTAATAAATATCGTGGTTACACATTGAAGATTCAGTGAGTGACTTTTTGGCTATCCCAGAACGGTTCATTTTCATTTTTGTTAAATCAGACTCAACGCTGCATTGGTGTATTTCAGTAATTCTGAATTCCTGTGACTGTATATTCTCACCATTTTAATAAATTTATAGTCTAGGGAAATAGAGCAGCTTTGTCTCCATGAAAATGGTGTGTATGTTGTTGGGTTGTATCATGGGAGTTCATGGCAAGCAAGCTTCGGAAATTATCATTGAGGGTTCCAGAAATAGTTAGCATTTACCTGTGGAGGAGGGGCGGCAGCAGATAGAAAATGTGCCTGAGAGTGGTTAGGCATGTGATCCGTTGTTTATACTTTTTGCTGTTAAATTGAGGTTTTCCTGCTTGTTTTGAATATATTTTTTCCAGTTCTTTTATCATGCACTCACTGTCTGGTGAATGTGTAATCACAGCCATTAAACCCATAAATAAGTACTGTTTTTGCCATTTGAGTAGTTGGAATCAACCTACAGGGAAAAATACTAAAACTGTATCAGGGTGAAAACAATGTTTACATAGAAAAAGTTTTTCTTACTATTAAAGAACTTAATTAAATGGCATAAAAATGGTTACAGCTCACCTTCAGTTAACGGAGTGGCTTTTGGTTATTCTTGTGGTGGAGACATATTGTAGATGAAGTGGCCCCTTGTGGAGGCTGTATTTTTGCATTGGTTGCCTCAAAGATGTGTTAAACATTTAAATAAGTTTTTACGTGTGTCTAGGAATCTTTTTGTTACTTGCATTCTCAACATCTAATTAAATTTTATGATTACCATGATGCTTGCCTACCAAGAGGACAAGAAGTAACTGCTTCTTGTGTACTGGGAGCCTTTCAAGCTAATATGCAGAAAGGGTAGAAACTTAATGTAAACATAGGGATTACTGATGAAAAGAGATGTGACTAATGGACATTTTGAACAACAACCTGTTGAATAAATGAATAAATACGTCTGTTTGCATATGGCAATGATAAGTGCAGTCTTGTCAAATGAGAAACCGACAAAGGAATTGTCCTACAATTTACTACAGCATCATTACTATGAAGAATTTTCAACTTGACACATTTTGATGAAGTGTGTAGAAAAATTTGTTGGTTTCCTTCAGTTTCTGTATTTGCTAATATATAAAAGGAATTGAGAGGAATGTGAATAGTGGTAAGTCGGGAGAGAGATGGCAGAAATATTGTCACTGTCCGAGACTTTGTATTTTCTAGTACAAGTGAATTTGGCTCATTTCACAAATAACACTTTAGTAGGTCACTGAAATGCAAAAAAGGAAAGCAGTTAACATTGAGACATTTATGCATTCCCATAAAACAGACGTGCCAGGCTCCTAGGTCTGTATAAAGAATTAGTATAAGTGTGTCCAGTTTGGAGACCACCATGATGGTATCTCCTGCTCTACCACCAGCAGAAACTTCTAAAAAAAAATTTTGGTGAAAGAAAGCTGTGTGGAGAACTTTGCTATTCACCACCTCTGGTATTGGACAGTGAATTGCCCTGTTAGAAGAGCCATAGGAAAGGGACTGTGCTTGGGCTACATATGCTCTAGGAAAGGTGAGAATTGCTTTCTGTGCTGTTCATACCTCAGGCTAATCCTGTGAGACGGGTGGATAGTATTGGGCGTTTTTTGTATGGATGATGAAACAGAGGTACACAGAAGTTAATTCACTTGTCCAAAGCCAGAACATGGTCAAATGATGCACTAGAATCCAAACCTGGGCCTGTCTGAGCCCTATCCATGTGCTTTCTAGATGGTAGTAGCTGTGCCAAGTTTTTCCAGCTGTTTAGTCAGTCTTCTCTGTAGATGTGTTTGCAAAAACTAGTGTTTCTAATCAAGCTTATAAATCTGTACTTGGTCTTCCTCTACCAACTGGATCAGATGATTGTATGGATAAATGAAATTCATGGGATTGAAACATCATTGTGCTTACATTTCTAGAACTGTTTGATAAGATGCAATCTTGTCAATTGCTATGTTTTCTACCTTAAGATTGACAGTGGCCCCTTCAAGTTTACTGCCTGCAGAAATAAGAAAATGTGATTCCATGCCTTCACGTAAGAAGGAAAAGCAAATTAGACCATGCCCAACTTTTCTCACAGTACATACTCCTTGAATAAGAAACACGTGTTTGGTGTAGTATAGTTGATTCCATCAGAGATCCTTGAGGCCAGCTGCCTGGGTTCAAACTCAGGTACCATCCCTTACTGTGACCTTGGGGGAGTAACTCTGGCTGTGTCTCAGGTTTCTCCGCTGTGTCATAGGGACAGTAGACTGTAGAGTTGAGAGGATTGAGAGAAGTGTGTGTGTAAAGTGCTGAGAGCACTCCTTGATATACAGCAAGCATCATGCAAATGTAAGGTGTTTAGGATGATGATTATGATAGGTTTGGACTTGAAGTTTACTTCTTTGTATTACATTTTATTTGCTTGTTACTTATTTTAAGTGGGGGCATACTGTCATAGAAAGCATTTGGCAGCTTTGTTTCCTGAGTTCCTTGTCAAAGTGTTTAAAATAAACTGGGCTTAACTTGTTTACTCTTAAAGTTGTGGTTTAAGTCTTACCTTGAAGAATTAAAGTGGGCTTTAATAATATCAAGTTACATGGTTGGTGTAGGTACAGTGGTGCGTCTTTGATGCTGTTCTGTCACTTGGGCTTGGACTTTTTAAATCCACTTGCACCATTTGAAATACTTTTTAACTTTAAAATTTTTTGTTTTTGTTTTTCCAAGGCCAGGTTTGGCAGTACCTAGGATCTGCTTTTTAAATTGGAGTGATTACTTCAATGTGTTACTGTTTCTCCAGCCTTGACCTTTCATTTGTGTTCTTGCTCCATATTTCAGCTGCTGTCAAGACTGTTCTACTTGGAAGTTCTGTTCCTCTAAAATATCTGTGATCTGTGAGCCTTGTTACTTCCCAATTTTTACCATTCTTAATTCAATAATGTTAACAACTACTATTAGAGTTCTGTGTGTCAGGACTGCACAGATGCTTTGACAGGTACTTGGGACAATCTTGTGGATTTCAACCATGGGGAAACCAAGGCTCAGGTAGTAAGGGGCATGTCTGTCTTTTAGCCAGTCTACTGTCTTCTCAGTGAATGAAGGAAGGAATGAAAAGAATGGATGAATGGCTTTTGGTCTGGGTTTTTGCATTACTTTTCTGGTAGGTTGCCCTGAGCAGAGCAGCCTTTCTTTTCCACCTATCTCCTGTAACTACTGACAGTGTATTTATTTAAAATACTGATTTCATCACATCAGTTTCCTTGCTGGAGAACCCATTATGGCTTCCCTTTGCCAACTGGACCGAGTTCATATGCTTCAGTCTGGCTTTTAAGTCTCCATTCTACCTATTCAGCTTAATTTCCTATTCTTTTCCAACTGGGATTCTTGCCTGCCTATCAAATACTGCAGTTTTCCATACTCATTATTCCATTGCTTTTGCTCATGCTGTTCCTTCCCTTT